ACATTAATGTTGTGAATTTATATTCTAATCATTCCGTAACAGTTCATTCCGTAAAAGTAAAAAAAAAAAAAGAAAATCCACTGGACTTGGTTTCCAAGATTTGAAGACGTTTTGCTACCTCTCCAGGAAGCTTTCTCAATTCAAATGTCTGGATCCGCAGTGAGTTTGAGTCTTTATTTTTTTTATTTAATAATTTTTTAACTTTTACGGAATGAACTGTTACGGAATGATTAGAATATAAATTCACAACATTAATGTGGCATCCAACCTGGATGGGCATTGAACATAAAATCCCAACAAGGGCACAAGCTTGTAGTCCATATCAACTTCTGAGGTTTTGTGAAGGCAACAGTATGTTTTGCATGGTCCTTACCTTAAAAAAACCTTAGAATAATACTATATGTATGTAATTTATTGATGGAAAAGCTTTTAGTCAGCTTTATATTTTTTTTATATATAAAAACTATTTATTTTCTGAGAATGTCTTTATTTAAGAGTAACTATGCAAATAAACAAAGATCTTGAAAAAGTACACTATATTATATTATTTTCCATGTGAATCCCATATTGTTCATGCTTCTTAGTCATTTCTAAGAAGTGCTACCTGTCTTTATCCATGGTGGGTCAGATCCTGACGTTTGAAAAAGGAGGCAGGCAGTCAAGGCAGTAGAATAAAGCATTACCCTCCATATGCAGGGAACTAGTAACCCTATCAACAAAATCATCAATTTGTGAAGGGCAATACATTTAATGGCTGGAGGTGGCACCTGCTCGTGTTGTAAGTGAAGTCCGAGGTGTAAAGGGTGAAGAGAAGTGGAGTGTACGCCCGGCTTAAGGGAACATTGTTCTCTTGCAAATTACCTTCTGAAATGCTGGTATTTTGGTCCTTTCCTCCATCAGATCTCCACTAGAGCAGCAATGTTTTGGGGCTGTAACTGGGCAACACAGACTGTCAACTCCCTCCACAAATTTTCCATGCCATTTAGGTCAGGAGACTAACTAGGTCATTCCCAGTCCTTAAATACCTTTTAACAGAGCCACTGAATTACTTGAGCACTGAGTTACATCTTCAATACTGATACTGATGGAGAGGTTTTGGCTTGATATCTCATCATCCGCTGCCCCGTTCATTCTGCCTTAACAAATATCAGGTCTCCTGTCTCCTTTGCTGAAAAACAGCCCTAAAGCATGATGTTCCCACCCTCATGCTTCACAGTAGGTTTGGTGTTCTCTGGATGCAACTTAGTGTTGTTTCCTCCAAGAGGGAGAAGTTCAGATTGGGCCAAAAATGTCTACTTTGGTTTCACCTGACCACATTATATTCTCCTAATCCTCTTCTTGATGTGAGCCCCTTTCTGCTTAGTGTGGACCTGATGGTAGCCTTTGGTACTTTGGTTCCAGCTCTCTGCAGGGCAATTATTGGGTTCCTCCTTATAATTATGGGAATTTTGCTCACTTTTCCCATCATTCTAATCTCAGAGGATGTGATCTTGCGAGTGGGGCCCCAGATCAAGGGTTAGATTATAAATTATCT